CGCAAACTCTCGTAAGGATGTCGATCTTTAATAGTATCTCGGTGATTTCGTTGTTTCCTTCTTCCATTTCTCTTAGGATACATCGTTCATTTTTTTATGTACGTTATTTAATACCATAAAAGTGGACGTTGCTTTGTAATACATCCACTTTGTTAAAGAGCAGTAGTGCGCGGCAGCATTTTGCGGTTACAGGTTTTGAGCCGTCATGTCCTCTCTCAGGTTTCTCTCTGATATGAATATTTGCATCCGCTATTTTTAGTCTTTTTCTCACTCTCTTGCTCCTTTCCTCAATTCCTTGCTCTCTCTCCGTCGCTAAACTAATGCCTGTATTCATAGTCAGATTTTGTACTTAAGGCTTCCTTAAATTTATCTTTAGATACTCAACAGCCAAAAAAATAATTCATAGAGTATCTAAAGATAAATTTAAGGAAGCCTTAAATATAAGACCTGACTATGAATACGAGTATAAGGAGATTGAAGGGAAAAAAGAGAAGATTGTAGAGAGTACAAAGAGTGAAAAAAGGATTGCTTATACCTATATTATCCCTACAGTGCAAACATCGATATATTGATTGCAAGTTGACTTTGCTAAGTCAGGTCTTTAGAGTCGTCTTTAAGTCGACTTTGTACAGACGTCCTTCCAATATCGACTTTAGGATGTCTAGTGCGATTTATGCTCACTTAAATGTGGAATCATTTCGGCCTTGTTGTTTAACTATAATTAAACAAGGATGAATGCTGTTCATGAGCGTTATGGGCATGAATCGAATCTACACACAGCCTAGAATAGTTGACTTAAAGTCGACTTACAGTCGTCTTTAAAGAGGGACATTGTATGACTTAGAGATGTCTCCAAATCGTCTCCTAATCGACTTACGGATGTCCATTTTTCAGACGTCTAGAAGCTATAGTCGACTCAGAGTCGACTTTGTGCTGTTAGAGATAGTGCTCTAGTTCTCCGTAAGGAGAAAATGACACGAATTCCTATAAGAAGGCATATGCGAATGAAATTCGTCATTATTTTTAGGCCGATATTCATAGACAGAACTTATATTCAAGACCGTCTTAAAGTACGATTTTAAAAAGTCATGAATCAATCAAAAGCATTAGCATCTTAAAACATTACTTAAGACGGTCTTGAAATAAGACTCGACTATGAATACCGGTCTTAGCTTGATCAAAGTGCTCATGGAGCCACTAAAAGTACTTTTTTTGAATAGAGTTATTCATAGTTAGTTTAATTAGTAAAATGAAAAATTTCCATTAAAACAGTACTTACAATCGATAAAACCGATTTTGTAAAATATATTGAAAACTCCTTTTGCTTTGTCAATTAATAAATAACTCATGTACCTATTTAAAAATAAATTATGTATAACAAAAAACAAAATAAGCTATAGCTGCAACTGTCAAATTAATAATATAAAAATAAATATGATTAAATACTTCCCGAAACAAAGGGTAGTTTTCAATATGCTATGTAGGATATTTATGTAAATATCCCACATTTAAAAAATTAACAATTAAATTATAAAAATATATTTCTATAATATACGTAAAATATATAAATGTATATGATATATATGTGTCAAAAGCTGAAAAATTCAATTTATCAATATAAATGATCAAAATTTTATCGGATCAAAATACGATATTCTAGAGACGTTTTATATTAATACAATAATTAGAAATGTTCTAGGTCTCTATTTTTGAAAAATATTACATACGAAAAACTATGCTATAATATACGTTACTATAGTACATTCCTAGTTTTTCATATGTGATACTTGCTATGTTTTTCAAGAATATGATACTTTTCAAGAATAGGGACCCTGAGGTAATATTGTATGAATGATTTGTTTTGGCTCAGAATGAGATCAATCTGATCAAATTAAGATATTTTAAGGAAATACATTGCTATGTGAGATGTTATTTTCAAACGTATAATTTATTAAATTATTTATTTAATTGAAGAATTTATTTAATTGAAACATAATCTTTTCATTTCATATCGCATAAATCTATTTTAAAATTAGCGGCATGCCTGTCAATGACATGTGCCCTATTCTTGATTTGTAGGTAATTTCATGACTAATATGATCTTGAAATGTCATGCAATGCCGATAGTGTTTGATTGGTCGAAATTTGCCCCATTTTCAGTCCATCATGTGCAATGCTTTATCTCTATTTCACCACGCTAAAGCCCAGATCATCATACAGATTAAAGTCTTTCATATATAGGACTCTAATGCCCGTATTCATAGTCAGACCTTATATTTAAGACTTCCTTAAATAGCTTTAGATGCTCAGCAACCAATGAAATAATTCATACATCTGAAGATAAATTTAAGGAAGCCTTAAATATAAGGCCTGACTATGAATACGGGTATAATACAGATAAGGTGCTTTGACAATACCACCAAATATAATTGGTAAAAATTAAACGAGTGATGGAGATAAATTTTATTCTCACAACCGGCTTTTCACCAATCAATGCTCGTTGCAGCGTTTGTTGTTCTACATACTATGTTTATTCTATATATATGTTTCAAAATTCATGCCCGCGAAGTACAAAATGTGATACTTTCTGTTAAAACAAACTTTTTTCTTTAACAAAATTGCGTCAGATAAATAATTTTTGTGCTTATTTGTTAACTTCAACCTACTCTCTTGCAAAAATTATTTATCGGACGTAATTTTGTTAAAGAAAAAAGTTGTTTTTTGTGTTAAAATGAACAACTTTTTCTTGTAGTAAATTACATTTGATAAATAATTTTTGCGTTTACTCGTAATTTCAATTTGCTCTCCTACAAAAATTATTTGTTAGACGCAATTTTGCAAAAGGAAAATGTTATTTCTTTTAGCATAAAAGTATGACGTCTTGTACTTCGTGGGCACGAATTTTGAAAGACCCC